AAATTCACAAATAGTGGTGGGGCTTTACTTACCACAACTGCAGAGGCTACCAGCTTCATTTAAAACAGACCACATTAGAAACAGATCTCATTTTATGACACAGGCCTTTATTTCTCATTCCCTCTATGTTTTTCTATTTTTACTTTTGATCTGCTCCTATTCGGCCTGTTAAAGGAACTCTTATCTTTCTTGCATTTCACACAGCACTTAGAAAAACATTTGAACATCCACAACTCCACCTCCCTCCAAAGTCCCATCCCCCTCCTCCTGCAACTCCACCTCCTTCCAAAGGCCTACTCCCCCCTCCTCCATTACATTCTCATTACTTCCATGATAGACGTAGGTGTTGGCAAGGTAACGTTATTCGGAAGAGGAGAGCGAGTGTAACGTTACAACCAAGACAGTCAAACGCAACCCCAGAGTTTTAAAACTTAACTGCAGTCAGTGATGACTGATGAGTTTTAGAATAAGGTTACAGTGCTAACGTTAGATAGTAGCGTTAACGTTACTATTAGCCTAAGTGGAAACGAACAAGGAAGATAACGTTAATGTTTCAGAGGCTACGCTACAGTAGGCTAACGTTAGCCATTAGCAACTGGATGCTGTGCTGTCATATAGAACGTTATGAACTGAACTGAACTTCTTTATTTGTCATTTTTATGTGCAGCACAAAATCAAAATGAGCATAAAGAAACAAAACATTTAAAAACAATTTGTGCAACATATAAGAAAGAACATATAGTGCAATAGTAAGATGAAGGGTTGACATTTCACAGTCAAAAACTCCACATCCTGAGAGCAGAACTGGGAGATTCTCTTCACATCACAGCACCATGAATTGTTTGTGTATATTGCCAGACCGCCCCCACGAAGCTCAGCAGACGATGCAGCCTCTCTGTCTGCTCTATGTAGTGTTAGCCCCGTTAGCTCAACACCAGAGTCTGATATGTTACCATTCATCCATGTCTCAGTGAACACAAGGACGCAGCAGTCCCTCACTCCTTGGTGAGTGGACCTCCACATTTGGATGTAATCTATTTTCGTGTCTAGTGAGCGGACGTGTGCCAGAAGGCCGCTGGGAACAGCTGGTTTGATGGGGTTAGCTCTTAGCCTAGTGCTGCCTAGAGGTTAACTTTTAGCATAGAGCTAACCCCTCCGCGCTTCCCCCACTAAGCGTCCGTCACAGCCTTGCCGGCGTCTCCACGTCGGGGCAACTCCAGGCGAAACCACGGTCATCTCAGGGCTAGCTCGACGTAGAAGGCCAAGCTTGCTACACATCCTGAGCTCTCTCGGTTGTAGCGTTAGATCTCTCCAGCGGTTTCTAATGTCTGTTAGAAACTCGCGTATTGCACTGAAGAATTTACTTCGCCGGTGTACACAGAGGCTGCCGCAAGCATTGGTTGTGCCGCCATGTTGATTCAGACTTAGAGGCAAACTAAAAATACCTGTCCAGCAGAAACTCTGCGACCATCTCGTCCCTTTTTTATATCCACAAGCATCCCGTCACTAGTTTATATCCACAAGCGTTCTCGTTACTAGTTTATATCCACAAGCGTCCCTAATACTAGTTTATATCCACAAGCGTCCCCGTTACTAGTTTATATCCACAGGCGTCCCTAGTTTATATCCACAAGCGTCCCTGTTACTTGGTCGTGGACCATCGTGTAGTCTGTCGTGTCTGTTGGCCAAGTCATTTTATGTACACACGGAACACTATTTTGTAGAGCATCTTCATTTCGAACACAGTAAGGCGTCGCACAAGGTCAGTAAGTTGGCATTGGTGCAGGCTTGCTGTTGGAGGGTTTTATAGCCCACCTCTCCTCCCTGCTAGTTGGTTTGGGACGGCACTCAATGTGGCAGACCCTCTGCGTGAATGCGGAAACAGAGTGGAAGTAGGTAGTGACAGTGTGTAGGGGGTGGTTTGAGAAAGGACCTTAGTCTAAAGAATATTGCTCCATAGCACTAGTAGCCAGAAGCTCAACAGGTTACCTTTAAATACAACACGTTTCAACAAGATATCGCAACTAAAAATGTGCTCTATATGTTTGAGAAGACCATTAAATGTTAACACATGTAACACTGAAATGACCCACTGTGATGGAAATGCTGAATCCAGTGTGTGATCTGCACAGCATCCTACAAGCAAATCTACACTTGTTTTACAGTTTGGAAATTTGACAACAGATTGACGACATGTCAACTATAAGTTGTATTCATCTGATGGATGATTCACAATTGCACAAGTTGGCATAGCCTCACAGTGTAATTAAGAGGATAGGGAAAGCTACAGGATCTCGCTTCCAGCAGGGAGCATAGGCTACTGTTGATTTGTTGGTAGAGCTCTCTGACAGGCAAAAAAAGTTGGTGTTCTGCCAAAGTAGCTCTTGGCAATAGACACCCTGGCATTTGCATTTAAGGCTGTTTCTGCAGAGACAAGTTCATTTGTGCAACTCTGTAAACACAGCATCAGTCAGAATGCGGTGGCTTCAGGAGAGGGATTGCCTGTTTGCTTAGAGAGCAGAGAAGGAGAATTTTGAAGATATTATCAGGGAAGAGATTGCACTGCCCTTAGGTGACACAAACACAGGTGTCCACAGCAGATTGCATTTTAAATGAAACCCAACCCGTTACAAGCTTTAAACTGTTGAGGTTTGACCTTCCATTTTCCTCTTGTAGGCACTCAAGCCTTCAGCTCTATCAGATATAAAAACAGCTAATAAACCGTATAAGTAAAGTGGTGGCAAGGTAGCAGAGATGAATAGATGGCTTTGGCACAGGCTTGTCTATAATCTGATCTTTGTTTTTATGAAGAGATTTGTTTGTGCTGAAGTACATGATCTCAGTTAAATTAATACCAATAAAATCTGATGATAAAAGCAGTAGACCAATGATATGCCATTACTTGCCTGAGAAATAAGATATGTGTGAAAATGCAACCTAGTATTTACTCATATGATAACAAATCAATGTCAAATCTGAATCTATCTAACCTCTTGCTGTTTTCTGTATATTTTATACATATGCTGGGGAGCTGATTGGGAGATTGGGAACAGCTGTACAGGTAGGGGTGGGACTAATGTCCAAAGGTGGGAAAAGGACAGATGCAGAGCAGCCAGGTAAGAGCAGGCTGAGAGATGAGGAGTAGAGGTAAACGCTCTTCTGTCCAACTCCACATGCCCAATTTAAAAAAAAAATTAACTTGTAGTCCTTAGACCCAAAAAACGCTAACTTAAGGTCCAGTGTGTATGATTTAAGGGCATCTCTTGGCAGAAATTGAATGTGATATTCTTAACTATGTTTTTATTAGTTTATAATCTTCTGAAAATAGAAAACCTCTGTGTTTTCATTGCCTTAGAATGAGCCATTTATATCTACATACAGAGTGGGTCCTCTTCCACTGAGTCAGCCATTTTCTTTCTACAGAAGCCCAAAACAGACAAACTGAACACCGGCTCTAGAGAGGGACATTTGCATTGTTGTTGGCCGCTGTAGTCTTACACTCTTGGAACTCGGGAGAAGTTGTAAGTTCTGCAACCTCAACACTAGATGCTACCGTTGTAACAGGAGTGGTTTGAGCCCAGTCGCAGCACCAAAAGCAGTGCTGCTTACAGTTTGTCCAACAACCTCAAAACTCTGCTGAGCAGACTTCAGTTGCATTAGAGTCTCCTTGAGGCGCCACCGACTGTCTTTTTTTGACTTTCACAGGAATTGCAATCATTCTTTGTCCACTCTTATACATTTACAAGGAGGCATAAGTGTGTCAGTTGGTGTTGTTGTTGGGCTGGATGAATGGTCAGAGAATGCTGTGACATTGCTACTATGTCTTGGTAGTGCCTGAGGTCCGCAAACCTCTAGCCCCTCTTATGTCCCAGTCACAGGGAAGACCACATCATGTTGCCTTTCTAGACGGTCATCTATCTCTGAATAAAACTGAAAGTATATTTCTAGATTCAGATTTTTTCCATCAATACCAATCATGTATGAGCAATATTGGATGATGCAAAGCCAATACCAAACATTTTTGTTGTTGTTTTGACTTGTTATAGCAGTTGATATAGTAGTTGGATTATGCTATGTGTCAGTTGGACTGCTTTGTAGTCAGTGTTGATAATAATGAGTGTTTTAGGGTGAATCTCACCAAAATATGTGCTTTTGTAGGCCTTGATGATCTCACCTATTTCTGTTCTCACCTATTTAAAAAAACAACAACTTATAACTTTTTTTTCTACTTCCAATTAGGGTTTTTTTTCTTCACAGGCTGAAGGAATTAACCCTTGTTAGCAAATTGGACAGTACTGTGTGTACAACCAATTTGATGAAACACAAATAAGACATAAATGGTAATTATCAGTTAATTACCATAGCTGTCACTTACTTTGATGCTTGGAGCAGCCTTCTCAGATTTTGAGGTCAGGGTTGGTGAGGCTCTTCTAACCTCCTGACTTGGAAATCCGATTCCGAAATTCCAACTTCCCAGTTTGAATGGAATGAACCATAATACTCTAAACCAAGAGGATACCATGGTGAACGCTACATATTAGTGTGTCACTATTTTTACTGTGAGCATGTTAGTATGCTGACATTAGCATTTAGCTCAGAAGAAAAAGAAAGCATCATGGAGCCGTTAGCATGGCTGCAGTACACTTTGTTGAATATGCCAACCTCAGTGGCCAAAGTTCTAAAATATTTCACTCAAAACCAAAACTTTCAACATCATAGTGGCACTACAGGAAAAGTCACAAGATCACCAAAGTCAGTAGGCCTAGGATTCATCCTCTGGGGACCATGAGGAAATCCATCAAAAACTTGAGACATTTTAGTCTGTTCCAATGGTGGGGGGGTGACCAACTAATAGACACCGCCATCTGTAGAGCCACACCGCTAGCATGGCTTAGAATAATTTGAATGATTTATTTATTGATTTATTTTAATTGAAGATTTAACCCATCACATTTTAGAGAAGCCGTGACCTAACCTGTTATCATCCTGCATCCTCAAAGGAATGCAACATCAAGGAAGTATGCGCTACAAGTTCAACTTCATTGCAGATGTGGTAGATAAGATTGTCCCAGCTGTGGTGCATCTGGAGCTTTTCCAAAGGTAAAACCAACCACAGCAAGAGCATTAAAATGATCACCTTTAACTATCATATACCTACAAATGGAAAATGAGGTTATGTCTTTGCCTTTTCTCTTGCCAGAGTGCCATTTTCCGGTGAGGAGATCTCTGTGTCAAGTGGCTCTGGGTTTGTAGTGTCAGAGGACGGCTGGACCGTCACTAACGCTCACATACTTACCAACAAACAGAGGATAAAAGTCGAGTTGAAAAGTGGTGTGCACTATGATGCTACAGTCAAGGATGTGGACCAGAAGATGGACATTGCACTCATCAAAATCGAACCAGATGTGAGTGCCCACTGTTTTCCCTCAGCTCCCCAGAGGCCTTCGACTAAATTCTGTTTTGTGTTTTCCTCTGGCCTGGTTGCTTGTCATCGCTGGCTAACATCAAAGTGTATTAATCCTGCACACAAAGTTATTGCATGGATATTCTGTGGAGAAAGTCAACAGGGGCCTCTGCCCACCAAAATTAAACTCCATTTCTTAACATGGTCAATTTGTTGACTGGATTCCTCTGGGGTGGTATTTGGTCACGTCTCATAAATTCAAAGCCTCAGTATTTTTTGGCGAGTTCTGAATAAAACATGTCACTGCGCAGACATGCTCTAACACAACCAGCTGCTTTGTATGGTAGAGGGGACTCTACTCCCACCCTCTTCAGTCAGACTCCACTCAGCATGAAGCACATGATTAGCATTTTTAGTACTGATCTGAATACAAGAATACCTCAAGATCCAAATGAGTAAGCCAGAGTAATTTGACTGCTTTATAGGTGAAGGACTGTGTAGAAAACACAGCTGTACCATGCTGTAACTCTGTGTTACATTTTTGGGAGAGGGAGTTCTAAAGCTTGCCTAAAAGGCAAATTTGTCATGACATAACACTCGATGCCCCGGGAGATGTGGCTATAAATTCGATTGAGCATTACAAGCCCCCCGAGAGAAAAAAATGGCCTCATCCTGGAATAAGAGGAGGCAGGCAAAGACAAATCCGATGTTGAGATTGGTGGGGGTTTTTTTAAAAAAGAAAAACAAACACTTATTTCCAGTGTATTGCTTCATCTCAGGAGCATGGGCAAAGATTTAAGCAGAAGAGCTGTTATTACAAGGGGTAGATTCAGCTTGAAAAGAAGCATTGAAGACTTCTTGAAACTTAGTAATTTTAATTAATAATGTTAACAACATTGTTTAAAAAGCACAGAGCTTGTTTTGTTTTGATGCTAGAGATTTAGTGGCTACACATGTGTCCTAGAGACATGATGGAAAATTATGTAAGACTGAGGACCCTAAATTAGACTCACAGGTAAGATACAAGCACTTCTGAGAAAAACAAAAAGTACTATTGTCTGATTAAAATTCCAGTCCAATGTTCCACAATTCTTTCTCAGAGGCAGAGCTGCAGGCAGAAATAATTTCACAGATGGAAGACAAAACCTTATTTAAAAAGTACTCAACATTTTTAGCATGTGTCTGCAGCACTGTCGGACTCTAGATGGACCTCTCAAGATCAAAATAAATGCAGCATAACCAAGGATTTTTTTGTATTTTTTAATTCCATACATTCTTCTTTCTTGTCAAAACCTGCTGCCTACATTACTCCACTCTAGGATCACTGACAGTTCGGCTTTAGATTCAGGTGTGTTATGCTAGTAGCAGCTAATGTAGCCTTAAGCCACTAGCCTCAAGCAGAGATGAAGAGCCTGCTACAGAGGTCTGGTAAGCTCTCATCAAACTTGTAGTACCCAGATGCTTCAATGTCGACACAAGTGACATTATTGGAGGACATTTTAAGACACCACACAGCTCCCTCTGACACAAAAGACTTTATACTTTTTTTCCACATGTACAGTAGTCTAGTACTCCTCAACAAACACACTTTGATGTGTAAAACTGGTGGAGTGAGCCTTAAATGGGACAAACTGTTCCATTAAAATACTTCAGGATCAAAGTTATAAAGTATTTCGCTGCTGGAAAGATGGTCTTTCCGTAAAACTGGACTGTCTATGCAGTGGAAAGATGCAAATACTTTTGAAATTAATGCTACATTACCAGAGAGAAGGGCAGTGAGCTAAAATATGTTTATGAAAACATTTTAGGTGAGAAATAGGAAACTCAGCAACAGAATCTTGCTTCATATTTGATCAGCACTGCATTGTTTTACTGTTTGATTTCAGTTTATTCAGCCTCGTTTTTACAATATAGGTAATGGTATGGCGTCCACTTTTCTGTTAACAAACTCTGGTATTACAGCCAAACAGGGCACTAAAATCTGTTTCTGACAAAACAAACAAACAAACAAACAAACAAACAAAAAACATTTTAGGTGAGAAACAGGCAATACGGTAACATAATATTGGTTTGTATTTGATCAGCACTGTCCACTTTTACAGTGTGAACTGAGTTTGGTTTTGCAGTTTGATTGGAGTTTGGGCTGAGTTTGAGAGAGTGGGGTGGCGCTCTTTCTTGATCTGCTTCTATACCCTTTTGTGTCAGTGGTGGCAGGCATATGAGAATGCAGAAGTACAATCTGTAGTTCGAGCAACAGCCATGGATGTAGAAAGAGAAATACTTACAGTGTTGGAGGTGGGGCCCTTTTGATTCCTACGGGAGTTGCTCAGTGGCTCTTGACACCAAAAAAGCTCATTTCCAGGGTATGAAATTACCTGGATCTCCAGCTTTGAGGGGCCCATAGAACAAGGGCACTAGAGCCTTCGGCTGGCCTAGCTGGACCCACCCTCCATTTCCCTTCCCTTCATCCATTATCTTCCCTACCTCATCCCAACCCCATTCTTCCCTCTGCTTATCCCTACCAACATTCCTTTATCCCTTCTTCCCTTCTCCCCTCATCTCTTCTTATTCAATCTCATGCATACCTCTTCCATGTCTTATTTCAGGTACCATCTGGGGCGTGTAATCAGCTCGGGCAAAAAAATCCCCACACTGAGTCTCCCTCTGTCCGATCTTCAGTATATTCTCCCAGACCAACCTAACAGAAGACTTCCCTCTTCCATCTCCCCCCCTGCTACATCCATTCAACAGTCCTCAACAACTAACACCTACTTAATTACAATTAAACATTTTAATCTGTCTTTTAAAGGTTTACAATTAAACCTTTATATTGTTGTGGCAATATCCTTGCTAGTGAAAAATGCTTTAGTCATGCGACTAAATGTTATCGGACCGAATGGATCAAATCCTGATAGTGAAACTAATCATTTTGTGAGAGTTATGATGCTCAAAAAAAATCTAAAATCTATAAATCTACTGATTTACAGGCGTTGTTTTCACAATCGAAGTGTGTGGGAAAAAGTCTTTCTGGGCCCCATTGAATCACATGATGGACTTCGACGTTGTGATACCAGATTTGGCCACTATGTAAAATTGGCTTCAAAGCCCAGCACTGTTCCCGTGGGCTTGGCAACAGCTGGGGAAAGAGTGAAAATTTTAGATTTGAACAGGATAGATTTGAGCTGGGAGATGAGCAGGGAGATCTGGGTGAGGGAAATTTACCATAGTTCATTGACATGATACAAAGCTGGATGAACACTGGCAAAATATTCCTTTAAGTGTTCCAGTTTGTAGTCTTAAAACAGAATTTAATCTGCACATTTCTTTGCCCAATACTTTGTTTGTCACCACAAAGTTTTATCTAGAGGTGCTGAGTCAAAGGAAACTGTACTTGCTCTAGGTTCTTGCTTAGATTTGCCTCTCCTCCAAAAGCCCTCTTTCAGTTCTGGAAAAAACCAGAGAAATGTCTTCAAGAAGCTACATCAAGCAAGTCTATTGGAATTCTGTAGAAACTGTGAATAGACCAGAATCTTTTGGCTCTTAAGAAAATAAACAACAAAAACCTCACAGCTCTGATTGATAATCAAATCTTCCTTGACCATGACCTTCCAGTCAGTCTATACAAACCAGTAGTCCCTGTATCTTGGACCTTAAACTTGGTTAACCATGGTTAGCAAATTACTGAAATAATGACATTATTTTACCTAGCATATGTTCCTGTTCCATTCTTAAAATTGATTGCCTGCCTTGTTTCAGAGTCCCTTGCCTGTGCTCCATCTCGGCCAGTCCTCAGACCTGCGCCCCGGTGAGTTCGTGGTGGCTGTGGGAAACCCTTTCTCCCTTCAGAACACCGTCACAACCGGCATTATCAGCACTGCCCAGCGCAATGGCCTGGAGCTGGGCTTTAAGGACTCGGACATGGACTACATCCAAACTGACGCCATCATTAATGTCAGTGAGACCACAGTTAGCCTTATAGACACCATCATTTTATTTCTTGCAGTTCTACATTTCCTTTAATCTGCCTTAACAATGTTTGTTCTACCGTTTTTGTTGCTCTCATAGTATGGCAATTCTGGTGGGCCGCTTGTCAACTTGGTAAGAGGATTTATGTGCTATATCGCATGAAAAGTGATAATACCATTATTCATCATTTGCATATTTGTTCTGCTTTCTACTCTGTATGAAATCTTTCTTGTTTTATTTATGACAGTAAGGACTAAGGTCATCATTTGTTTTATTTAATACCCAAAGTCTCTAGTCTGCTTCCTCAGGTTCAAGATTAAGCCTCCCTCACAGTATTTTAGGACACGACCTTATTATGGAGGCCTTTGTATTGCTACTATGAAATAAAATCATGCAGATGGTACATTCATTTATCGAGGCTGCTGCCTCAAGTTTCTATCCCTAAAAATGCAGTTCTTTCTTCAGGAGAACAATTGTCGTACAGAAGGTGCATTTTATAAAATTCCCTTCACTATGAAAACTCAGATAAGTCACTACATAACCAAGACTGATGTTTTTGTTGTTGTTGTTGTTATTGTTTGGTTTCTTTTTGCAAGTAAAAAAGAACACTTAATAGACTATGAACTATGATATGTGCATTGGAAGAAAAAGATACATAATACTCTCTATCACTTGTAAAGCTATGAAATCAGTGAAACTCTTAAAGGGACAGTCTGCCCCAAAATCAAAAATACATATTTTTCCTCTTACCTCTAGTGCTATTTATCAGTCTAAATTGTTTTGATTTGAGTTGCAGAGTGTTGGAGATATCAGCGGTAGAGATGTCTGCCTTCTCTCCACTATAATGGAACTAGATGGCACTCGGCTTGCAGTGCTCAAAGCACCAGAAATTACATTTGAAAAATTCAACCGCAGTTTCTCTTTCCAGAAATCATGACCCAGTTACACAAGATAACCCACAGACGTTGTGAATATGCATAAACTGTATTCTTTGTACCGAACTACACCTGCTAACTGTTATCACCACACAGAAAGAAGCATACATCTCCTCATGGACGAGAGGCTTGTGCTCATGACAGTGCAAGATGTAAACATTAATGGCGTCCTTGTCAGCAGAGCTGGAACATTAGCTAGTTCAGTGGTGCTAGGTGAGCTAGCAGTAGATGCACACTTTCTTCTGCGTGGTGATACAGTTGGTGGGTGTAGTTCAGTACAAAGAAATTACTTCTTACATGAAACTGCTCACAACAAGCTCTGTGGATTATCTTGAGAAACTGTGTCATGATTTCTGGAAAGAGACACTGCTGCTGAGATTTTCAAATGCAAACATCTCCAGCACTCAACAGCTCACACCAAAACAATCTAGGGTGTATTTAGTAAATCAACCACGATGCTCTAATGAGAGTGCTGTGGTTTGGAGAAATGGAGCATTTTATTTCTACAGAAATTAACAAAGCATTAATCACACATTCACTCCGCTTGGCACTCTGCTGCTCCAAGAGTGGGGTGTTCTGAGCAACCAAACAATACATTCCAGCAGCGTTTCAAATTTATGTATGGTCCAGTTTGTGCCAATGTGCGCCCTGATGTTTTGAAATGTGTTTATGCCGTCATATAGTTTTCCCCCCTTGTTAGTGTGTAGTGCTAGGGTTACTGGGAATGGGAAACAGAAATAGACTTCGACACAAAATCGGCACTCGGAGTGAGTATTTCAGAATGCATCCCCTGTTTAAGATAGTTTATGTCAAACTTGGCCTTGGGTGCCTTCGTAAATCCAATCTGACACTAAAAGGAGAGCGCTGTTGTTTAAAGTAACAGAGCGTTCCATTTCTACAGGAGTTAGCAAACCATTAAGTTAATCACACATTCACACTCTGCTGCTCTGTTTCCCCAGACAGAGTGCCCAGTTTACACTGTTGCACCGATAGAGTGGTGTTCTGAATGACTGAATGGTGCATTCTAACTGAACTACGAATTTACGAACAGTCCAGTTTGTGCCAGAGTGTGCTCCATCACTCAGAGTATTTCCTAACACACCCCTAGATTGATAAATAGCACTACAGGTAAGACTATGCTTTTTGATTTGAGGGTGAACTGGCCCTTTAGGACCACAATCTCATGGCTCTCCATTCTATGTTTAACAGGATGGGGATGTAATAGGTATTAATACTCTGAAAGTGGCAGCAGGAATCTCTTTCTCCATCCCTGTGGACAGAGTACGTCAATTCCTTGCTGATTCCTACATCAGACAAGTCAATGGTGAGCGGGAGCTAATGTTGGTGTAGTGGATATAATCAGTCTCTAGGAATTTCTCAATGAGCTCATTCACTTATTAAAAAATCCATTTATTCATTTGTTCATGTATTTGCCTCTAGGAAATACAGGACAAAAAAAGAAACACATAGGTCCGGATGCTGCAGCTCTCACCAGCGTAAGTAAACCCTAAAAGACCTCATTTCCAAAATACTACATATTCATTTCAGGTAGACATCCATTTTAAGGAAGTCTCAAGAGTCTCTGGCGACTCTAACAGCACTGTGAGGTTATACCATGGATGTATAAGAACTGGATATCGAACTTTAAGATGCCATATGTTTATGTCAATTGAGAGTGCTTGCAAGCACATAGGCCAAAAAGTGTGAAGCTTCCAGATTTGCTTCTGCATTGTGTGGCCCACTGCAAATGTGCATTACTTTTACTTAGTAGAAGTGCATGGTAGGGGTGAGTAATATAGATAATATAGACATTTAATCACAGCATGAGTAATTTTATATCACAATATCAATTAATGCTATAATTTTGCACATTTTATCAAAATTAAGTTAAAAAACAGTTAATGTTTGGGAACATCTGCTTTTGGCTAATCTAGGAAATACCTGTAAAATCGACCTATTCTCACTCCCAACTTGTCAAATACCGACGCTTGGTCAGTGGCCTTCGGCATCAGATGGCTTTTAGCTGTGGTATAAGCCGCACTGGGCAGTGGCATTTTTTGGCACTCAGAGCAACTGTCATAGTATAAAGAACAAGACAGGTCTCATAGGGTTGGTGGGTTCCATGTGAAAACAAAAGTCAATCAAATTATTTTGATAGTAACGTGTGCTCGTATCTGTGCTATGTGTCACATGATGTTATATTGCGTTAGTAACAATTGTAGCCTACTTATTTTATGCCAAATCATGTTTGTTGTTCTAAACCTAACCACATGCTTTTGTTGCCTAAACCCGAGGAAGTAAAACTAAAAACAACGTTTTTTACTTACGCTTTAAGTTTATTTTGAAAAGAGAATGTATGCATCTAACAAAGGGAAACTGTACATTTCTAGTGAAAATGGAATTTTTTTTTTTTTTTTGAAAAGCGACAATGCATAGAATGAGCTTAAGATGCAGTTCCTTAATGTCCAAAACTGACACTGGAAGAGTACCTTGATGGTGGTACCCTGCCATGGTTTCATCATGGCAACGGCCCGTGACAAGTTGGGAGTGAGAATCAAGCTACCTCATCATATGTATGAATAAATCTATGCTGTATATATATATACAGTACAGGCCAAAAGTTTGGACACACCTTCTCATTCAATGCGTTTTCTTTATTTTCATGACTATTTACATTGTAGATTCTCACTGAAGGCATCAAAACTATGAATGAACACATGTGGAGTTATGTACTTAACAAAAAAAGGTGAAATAACTGAAAACATGTTTTATATTCTAGTTTCTTCAAAATAGCCACCCTTTGCTCTGATTACTGCTTTGCACACTCTTGGCATTCTCTCCATGAGCTTCAAGAGGTAGTCACCTGAAATGGTTTCCACTTCACAGGTGTGCCTTATCAGGGTTAATTAGTGGAATTTCTTGCTTTATCAATGGGGTTGGGACCATCAGTTGTGTTGTGCAGAAGTCAGGTTAATACACAGCCGACAGCCCTATTGGACAACTGTTAAAATTCATTTTATGGCAAGAACCAATCAGCTAACTAAAGAAAAACGAGTGGCCATCATTACTTTAAGAAATGAAGGTCAGTCAGTCCGGAAAATTGCAAAAACTTTAAATGTGTCCCCAAGTGGAGTCGCAAAAACCATCAAGCGCTACAACCAAACTGGCACACATGAGGACCGACCCAGGAAAGGAAGACCAAGAGTCACCTCTGCTTCTGAGGATAAGTTCATCCGAGTCACCAGCCTCAGAAATCGCAAGTTAACAGCAGCTCAGATCAGAGACCAGATGAATGCCACACAGAGTTCTAGCAGCAGACCCATCTCTAGAACAACTGTTAAGAGGAGACTGCGCCAATCAGGCCTTCATGGTCAAATAGCTGCTAGGAAACCACTGCTAAGGAGAGGCAACAAGCAGAAGAGATTTGTTTGTGCCAAGAAACACAAGGAATGGACATTAGACCAGTGGAAATCTGTGCTTTGGTCTGATGAGTCCAAATTTGAGATCTTTGGTTCCAACCGCCGTGTCTTTGTGAGACGCAGAAAAGGTGAACGGATGGATTCCACATGCCTGGTTCCCACTGTGAAGCATGGAGGAGGAGGTGTGATGGTGTGGGGGTGTTTTGCTGGTGACACTGTTGGGGATTTATTCAAAATTGAAGGCACACTGAACCAGCATGGCTACCACAGCATCCTGCAGCGACATGCCATCCCATCCGGTTTGTGTTTAGTTGGACGATCATTTATTTTTCAACAGGACAATGACCCCAAACACACCTCCAGGCTGTGTAAGGGCTATTTGACCAAGAAGGAGAGTGATGGAGTGCTGCGGCAGATGACCTGGCCTCCACAGTCACCGGACCTGAACCCAATCCAGATGGTTTGGGGTGAGCTGGACCGCAGAGTGAAGGCAAAGGGGCCAACAAGTGCTAAACACTTCTGGGAACTCCTTCAAGACTGTTGGAAAACCATTTCAGGTGACTACCTCTTGAAGCTCATTGAGAGAATGCCAAGAGTGTGCAAAGCGGTAATCAGAGCAAAGGGTGGCTATTTTGAAGAAACTAGAATATAAAACATGTTTTCAGTTATTTCACCTTTTTTTGTTAAGTACATAACTCCACATGTGTTCATTCATAGTTTTGATGCCTTCAGTGAGAATCTACAATGTAAATAGTCATGAAAATAAAGAAAACGCATTGAATGAGAAGGTGTGTCCAAACTTTTGGCCTGTACTGTATGAATTTTGAAAATAAGCGTAGTTTACCTTTCAATAGTAAAGTGCACTTGTATAGCATCTTTTTCATCTTCCAAACACTGCTTTTACACTACATGCTACATTCACACACTGGTGACTGAGGCTACCATAAATGCCACCTGCTCACCTAGACATCAGTTGCAATTTGGGGTTCATTATTTTGCCCATTTATTTTGCACTTTGACATGCAGACTTGAGGAGACAGGGAACGAACTTTCAGCCTTCCAATTAGTGGAGAACAGAGGAGGATTAGAGGAGGACTTTGACAATGTTTTCATGAGTTTGCCACTCTATGGCAATGTGAAAGACTGAGAAGACAACACTGACATCACTGTAACAACTTGTTATGGTGAATGTGTTAGCAAACCATTGCTTAAATGCACATTCAGCAGTCACAGAGTAACTTTAACATTCATTTGTAGGTGTGTATGGCAATGTTAGTCCAGTATTACGCTATTTCTTTGGTCTCCAGCAACTCCTTAGAAAGTTTCTGGCTCTTCAGCTGCCAAATGCTCCCCTATGTTCACCAGCTAGTTGCTACCGTTGTCTCATTGGTGCCGGACAGGTTGTGTACAATGTTTTTTTTTTTTAATAAGTTTTAGCCGTCTGCTGTGACTGTAGACGAGATGAGTGAGACTGAAATTTTGGGGGGTTGGCAAACTATACCAAATGAGCCAAAAGACACTCTGTAGAACTGAGGGAAATTGCCGAGATGGTTGATAATTCTATGTGGGTTCATCACTCAGCCCGACAGCTTTCACATGACATATTTGTTATTGATTCATTGGTAATATGAGAATGCTGATGAGTGCAACTTTCATATCAGTTTTTACACTGGAGTTCAGTAGTCTATGTGGTACAGACAATGGAATATTTAGAATGAACAATGCATCTGTGTAGGTTTTTGAATTTCTTTTTACCGAGTATTCATGCTAAATCATATCAGCATCACCATTAAAAAAATAAGAATCTCTAATTGGCACATGAACATGACAGTGACAACCTAACCAATGTATGGTCATACAATTGTTTGTATGATATCTTACAAATATGTACACACAAGGTTTGTATGATATCTAATGAATTAGCCAACCACAGATAGCATCATCACGTTACAGCAGTAGCAAAGTTATGCAGGTTAGGTTCAGCCAAGTAAAGTTACGTAGATTAAGTTTGGGTAAAGAAAAACAGTTGAGCATTGTCACAACTGTGACAAGTTTTGTACTTAATGTAAAGTTATGTAGGTTTAGCAAATAAAGTTACATAGATGAGGTTCAGGAAAAGAAACATGTCGGCCATCGTCACATTACATACTTACTGTAAAGTTGTATATTTGACGCAAAGTTAAATAGGTTAGGTTTAGGCAATTTAAGTTATGAAAGTTATGCTCAGGACAAGAAACACTGTTAGGCATTGTCATGTTACGTACTTAACCTTAAGTTGTGTACGTAACATAAAGTTATGTTGGTTATAGGGCTGGGCGGTATGACCTAAAATTTATATCACGATATAAATCGAATCCCTTCACGGTAACGGTATATATCGCGGTATAAATTTAAGTGTAAAAGTTATAATAGAAGTGTTTCTGAATGGGTTTTGTAGTCCCTTAGCAAAGCTAAATTGATAAAAAAACAACAACAACAAAAGCAAAGATATAATGTATTTTTTAGAGCATTTATTGTGCAGAATGCAGATCTCAAAACTCAAAATTAAAAACCAGTACTATATGGTGCAAAATGTCCCCTGGGATCTATATCAAAAGGTAATTTCCTTCTTTTAGCAAAATCCTAAATGACTGAGTTGTGTTTTTTCAACCTGGACCTTTATGCTCTGCCATTTCTCCTCTAATCATCACGCTGTAACCTGTGACAGGCTGCTATGATACCACAACTATCACACATTCACATATGGAGTTTTTTGTGGAGCCCCTAGCGTCACATAGGTTTACATTACCAAAGGTTTATGACAAACTCTCTTGCCGAAAACCAACTCCCGTGCGCGCACGGCGAGAGAGGAGAGGGAGAGACGCTGTGCTGCTGCCAGAGGAGACACTGAATGAGTTCCCGCTGAGCGGTAAGTCGCTAAAAGAGTCTGAGAAGTCCGGGGCTGTTCATAAGACATTAACTCACTCACTCACAAGTTCTCCAGCAACACATGTTGCACGTGCTACGCTAAATCACGGACGTGAACCAGCTCCTCTTGCTCCGCTGTCTCTGTGCTTGCAGCCATTTTCACACTGAGGCAGGTGCAATGATGTCATCGACGATAGGACGGTAGAGTGCAAATCTCTACCGTGGGCCAAATTTATATCATTTCTACCGTCTACCGCATATACCGCGCAGCCCTAGTTGGTTAGGTTGAGGAAAAGAAACGTGGTGATGACGTAACTTAAAACTCAAAGTTCATGTGGTTTCACATGGGACATGAACAACAGTGTCCTGGGGGAATGTCCTGTGTAGTTTGACCCTTCCACCACCCCAAGCTTCCTACTTATGTGGACTTTTACTCTTTATACTACTTCTTTGTTTAGTCCTGTTGGTGCATTGGTGACATGATCGCAGTACAAACAGTGCATGGGAACAGCCTGACCTAACATGTTAGCATAACATAAAACATAAAAGATGCAAGTTTCAAAGTAATATACCACATCAGTGAGTTTTCTTCAACAGAAAGCATTACCTGGAGCAGATCAGTATGATGGACAGTGGGAGCTTGGTGCAACATCAAATGCAACATCAGTGCTGTGAACTGGCATTTGAAGGCCTCCGGATATTTTTCGAGCTGTACAATAAGAGCATCCCTGCATTTCTCAAGGCCATAGACTGAACTGTGATCCAGTTGCTCATTATAATAAGCTCTGACATCTTTCTCTTGGTGGAGACAGGATCTCTCTCCCTGATTCTTTAGACTCTCTATATTCCTAATTGTCCAATGCCCCCTCCCGTGACATGAAGCCAGAAGCTTTAAACAGCATACAGCAGAAGTCTACACACAGCCAGTACAGCAAAACCTGTCCATTTACCTTGATGATGCAGAATTGTCCACTATACTGCTCCTTGCATCCCTCACTATTATCTTGCGACATTATAATCTTTAATCTTTTTCTGCAGTAAAGTGTATCCTGTCAATCAGTCTGCATAGGCTAATAAGCCTGAGACTAAATAATAAGACTAAATGCCTTAGATGTAAATGTTAACTTTGTCTCTTGAGTGGTGAGGAACCTGACACAGGAGAAGACTTGTCTAAAGGTCAAAGATATTTTCTTGAGGGTGTGTGATGTACCCAGCTGTGTTGAGTCTGTTTTCGTAAGGCTTTATGTGTGAGTGATGAATGCCGTTGTTTTCTCTACAGCGCTGGCATAATCAATCACGACGTCATCATCGGCATCAATGGGCAGCCCATCCACACCATAGAGGAAGTGAGGGAAGCTGTCCAGAATGGTCGTGAACTTTCAGTGATGTTGAGACGAAAGGATAAGGATGTCGTGCTAACTATCATTCCTGAGGACTGACTGATACCACTGCCTATACATGTCAGCAATTAAAGACAAAACATACTTTAACATACTGTACCGCTGGTAATACAGCTGTCGGGGATGTACCCTGCGTTAATTGGTCTATTTTGTGGTCACGAGTGAGAACATTTTATCAGTTCCTCAGGATGAAGGCGCAAGGGCTCCTTTTTAGAGCTGCCATTTTACACAGAAGTTCAATGATCTTAAGGAAGAAATCGTCAAAGGATAGACAAGGTTCTACACCTATGACACGAAGCAACTAAACACAATTGTATCACAGCCCAGTCTTAAAATGCAGAAACATTCCAATGCCCATACACCCTATTTTGAAGCAGTAAGATGGAAATTAATGACTGAAGTATAATTAGACAGAAAACAGGTTTGTACACCAAAGAAATGAACTATCTGTGGTCACGAAATGACTTGTGGAATACAATGAACGTGAAAAACTGGTGGATAGAGGGTGAGTCCACCCAAAGCCATGCAGATACTTTTGATTTTATTTGCCCAAGTTTTAAAAAGTCCATCTCTGAGATTTATGCCTCCACCCTGATTTGTGGTGCTCACACCATTAGAAAATGTCATTTTTGCTCCAGATTGTGTATAAAGTGCTCATCTGAGTATTTGGCTGAACCCTAGTACATTGTCTATAAAAACACAAATATGACACTGTTTAAATTTTAAAAGGTAAATAAAAAAAATCAGTACATCAGAAAGTTATATTGGGTATGACAACTCAAGTTTATAGTTTTTACTTCATACTTAATGATACAGCACTGTGTTCATCCACTGACTTAAGTTTATTCATTCAGGTTTATAAAAACTTGATCTGTAAATAAATCATGCAGTAACTCTTGCCACCAAAAACATTGATCTGAAGCTCAATTCTGAGTTAGTTCTGTAGTTTGTATTAATAAAGGCTGTCAGGGCTGACACATAGAGACAGACAACCATTCACGTTCACAAGCAGTTTAGAGTCACAAATTAACCTAACTTGCTTGCTTTGGACTGTGGGAGGAAGCCGGAGAACCCAGAGAAAACCCATGCTGACACAGAGAGAACATGCAAACTCCACACAGAAGGGCTCCACCTACCCTGGGTTCAAACCAGGAACCGACTTGCAGTGGGGCAAAAATGCTAACCACTGCATCACCGTGCCACCTATTCCATGCTAGGTTTACTGAACTCTCTTAACTCGACATTGTTCAGAATCTTAGGGATTATGAGGTGTTCTTTCATGAGATTTTATTAATAGCATCATAAACAGCCCTAAAAATGTTGTATAAGGCTGTCTGACTGGCTCCACGAGTATGAAAAGATTGTTGAATTCCACAAATTTTCTTACATCATTCATATTCATTGGGACGGCAGCAGCTCAATCCATAGTGACTTGGCTTGGGAACCGAAGGGTCGCCGGTTCAAGTTCAAGTCCCCGCCCGGACCAGATATATGGTGCGTGGACTGGTAGCTGGAGAGGTGCCAGTTCACCTCCTGGGCACTGCCAAGGTGCCCTTGAGCAAGGCACCGAACCCCCCAACCACTCGGGGCGCCTGTCATGGGTGCCCCCTCACTCTGACATCTCTCCATTTAATGCATGTATAGGTCCCATTTCTGCATGCGTGTGTATTTTGGGCCTGTGTGTATATGAAAAACAGAGTGAAAATATTGAATTTCCCCATGGGGATTAAGAAAGTATATAAAATTAAAAAAAAAAAAAAAAGTGCCACTTAAGAATACATTTGCAACACAAGTGGTTCTTGATCAATTTATTACATAAATGGAGAAATACAATGTAATGACCTTTGAGAATTCAAATTTGGGCCTTGGGCCAGTTGCACAAAGCACCTTAAGTTTTCTCCTTAAGTGTGACACTCAAGATTTAGCTGAGGAAATGACTTAAGGGTGTTGCACAGTATCTCTTATAAGGCTTCCTTAATTGAGAAAAGACATTAAGGTATTTGCTGTTCTGGAAGAGATTTTACAGCAGTAAAATTCTACTGTTTCCATGCTTGAACATGCACTTGTGATAGTCTGGGCTACCTGTTGTCACACTTAAGTATCTTCTCAGAAAGTTGGCCTGATCATAAAAAATTGTCAGACGATAAGAAGACACGAAAACCAGATTGGTTTGATTGGTTGAGGAATTCAATAAAAGAAAGAACAAACTAAAAAGTACATTCACAATGTACAGCAAACATAAAGCAAGGAATGTGGGAGAAAACTGCAACGTTTGGATGGGAACTTAACTACAGTGTTCGCAGATGGGCTCACCGCTGACTTTCGTGCTGATTGGAAAGATCCTGATGCATAAAACCACAGAGCAATCATCATTGTAAAAGGGCTGGAAGAGCGCAGCTTCAGAAAGTCTAGTGATCCAACTCCAGGCATTGAGATAAATTATAACCTCTGGTCAAAGTGCAAAATTATTTGCTCATTATTAAGCGGGTCCATCAGGTTCACCCAGTCACTGGACATTTTTGTTTAGGGTGCCTTCATTTTCCTCATTAATCACCACAAACTCAGCCATGTTGTTGTTGTTGTTGTTGTTGTTAAGATGCAGTCAGAGGTACCTTAAGGTTGTTTCCTTACTTTGGCTGCTAAGGTCCTCTGTGCAACAGTTTAACAAACTTTAAGCAATTCCTTAAAGGGCCAGTGTGTAATATTTAGCATGGTTTATTGTCAATCTGAATCTGAATCTGAATCTTCTACCCATTAATATGTTTATACAGGTGTATAATTGCTATAAAATAAAATTCATTTGGTTTTCGTAGCCTTATAGTTATGCTTTTATATATATATATATATAGCAAGGGCCTTGCTTTAGAGAGGTCGCCATCTTGAGCCGCCATGTATGTACGGCAGACCGAGCGGACAATCCAGCCAGCCAGAGAATGCGTTTCGCGTGTATAAATGAACCAACGAAGACAGCGGAAGGAAGGAAGAAGGAGGAGGAAACAGCAGAGAGTGTTAGTAGTTCGTCGATAGAGAGTAGTGAAAAGTTTTTTTAGTTACAAAGTTTGCGAATGGACCACACTTACCACGCAACAGGAGAGAATGAACCCGAACGTCATCTGTGAGGAAAAGAAGATGCAACTTCACTCCTTGTGATGCTCTCTCTGCGGCGCTTTTCCTCCTGATGATATATCTCCCCAATGATGGTAGCAGTAGCACCGAATCCCATTCTGTGCATTCAGCCTCTCTTCTCGCCCGCTCAGCATCAAACACATGGAGTTCCTCATCTGTATGCTCCGGCTCAAACAGGTATGGCTCTGGGTCTGTGTCCACTACAAGAAACTCTTCAAAAAGCGCGTTCAAAGTCGTCCATTGCAGCTGCTATAGTCCAGAGATGTTGCTGGGCTAAATAAACAGCTGAGCTCTGTTTACTGGCTACGCTGTCAGTCAGTGTGCGGGCTGGAGATTGGTGGAGCAGAGAGGGAGGGGGTCCCCACTTGTTATGGTAAACGAGTATGTGTGTATGAAGTGTGTGTGTGTTACGCTAGAAGAGTCAGAGTTTGGGACAGAGTCTTTTACCCCCTGGAGTGTTACCAGAGTTTCTGGAGTGCTCAAATAAACAGGCCTTTTTCCTGAACGCTCCTCTGGTCTCCTGCTCGTGAGGGATTCATTACAATATCGTAACATGGTTTAGATTTATAAATAAACATACACCTCGTTGCTAGATAGACCTACTCCTGAAAAACTTGCGCGCAAGGCTTTTTGTCCCTACGAGGCCGCCGTCATTTACCCGACGGGAGGGGTGAGCGAGTGAGCCCTGCAATCTAGAATTTGGCCACTGATGTCACTGTTTTCAACCCATTTTACACACTGGGCCTTTAAGTATAAGACCAAGATAAGGAGAAAAACTTGAGGAAACCTTAAGGAGAATTAAGGAACCAATTTTATTTGAAGGGAACCTTCAGATTTAAAGGAAAACTTTTCACTTAAGTGCTTTGTGCAACCGGTCCTAGGTTTATACAATTTTAAACAGTTTGGCCTCTCTGCCTCTGTGTGACTTTGTGTGCATTCACTCAGGAAAATTCTATTAGGTCCCCAAGAACATCCTCTATACAAGACTGTACCATAGGCCATCTCAGTGTACTGCATCTGGGCCTGTACAGGCCACAAATAAGTGGAACACCCTGCCTGTTGATGTGAGGAGCTGCAGCTCTATCAGCACTTTCTGATAGTGTTATTTTCTGTACTTTGTTTTATGCCAAAGTTCTATGACATTAATTATGATTTTTCACAGAAGCATTTAGTTCTGTCTGTATGTTTTCCACTGCTGTTCAAAATGTTGATCATATGCTGCATCACTGGAGGAACACAAGTTGCTCAATCAATCCAGTCTTGTAACCTGCATCAATATCTTGAAGCACCGAGTAGAGACAACAATCTCTTGTATTGACATTCTACCCTTCCGCCAACCACAGTCCATTAAATCTAATCAGAAAACTAAGAACACACTGTACCAGATCCTTTTTATTGAGTCATAACGACTGTGAACAGTGATAAATACAACATCAGACACTTTTGATTGCCTCTCACCATCACAACAGGGGAAACTGGGTCTTCCAGGAACACATACTTAAAAAGTTTAAGAGCACAAGAAAGATCTACAATAAAACAGTCTGGGATAACTTGTACCCCTGTCCCTCAGTTTAATCTCAAATGGCTTCCATTTTCCTTTTTAAGTTTTTATTTTATTTCAGGAGAAACAAGCCAGTTAAGATCATTTGAAAAGGAAAAAAAACTGTCAAATCAACATGATACTCTGACTTAACATATTAAACAGAGGATTTAATAATATAAAACTTCTCGTGTGAAGCTTCTTTTGGGCAGATCAATATTTAATACAGTATCATACAAGACTAAAAGAACCCAGAACAGGGTCATAATCAACCATTTAATCATTTTAATGCCTCCTGCGACCCAACCCTCTAAAGGGGGTCTGAGAAGGAACTTTTAGAAACTCAACAGCTCAAAAACAACTATTTATAGTATTCTGTCATGGTTTCAAAGAAGGTGTCTATTCTCACTCACCTCCTCCAAGTGACCTGTACCCGTCATGTCTTCGCCTTCCTTATCTACCTCAGTCTTTAGGAGCAAATATGAGATTGTTAATGACTGTGTGTCTATTGATAGGATGGCCAAAAACAGTAACAGTTCTTTTACTCCACTGTATTTTATCATAGTTTCCCAAAATCACACTATTCTCACTCACTTCCTCCAAGTCACCTGTGTCTGTAACGTTATTTGAATGTATGCTGTTGCCCTCTGAAGCTTTAAGTCGATCCTTTCTTATTTACCTCCATGCCTCCTCTGCTGTCATCTATCACAAAAACAAAGTGAACAGACCATAAGGAGTAGTATTTGGTTAATATAGGTCAAGTAAAGTCTTTTTTTTAAACATAGCACCAAATCAAAACAAAACGTATCTCAAGACATATAGAGCAGGTCTCAACCATACTCTCTTAATTTGCAAAAGTTTGGGCACCCCCTGCTTTTTTTTACTGGTACTAGTTAAGTAAGTTGAAGATGATCTCCAAAAGCCATGAAATTGCAGATGAAACATGCTTTTCAACATTTTGAACAAGAATACCATTTTTTTG